GCACGAGGTGGTGAACCTGTTTTGTTGAACCTTCCTGGAAAGGTGGATCAGCTGCCCATCAAAGTTTTGATTTAAACCTTTTGAAGTAGTATTATCTTTATAGTTTATTATATCATTTTATTTTATTTTATTTTATTATATGTTCAAGGCGCTGAATGTGCTAGTTATTCTAATGTTTCACATTAATTTAATGCAAATTGTTTTCGCTCGAAATATTTATCGCAAAATAAGTCGTTTTTATTAAAATCGGGTCATTGTAATATCTTAAATTATCTGAATTTGATTTTAATAAATTAAATGTCATAGTTATCTTTTATTACTGCGTTATCGTACACATTTTAAATATATGATCGAGGAAATGTTTTTTTTTTTCAAAAATGAGATTTATGATTCAAAGCAAATTTCGTGTAACATTAATCAATATAATATAATTTTTAGATTTGATAATGATTAGCGAAACTTTATCTAAAATAGCAAATTTAATAATAAAATTTCAAATATTTTCTTTGCAAAATATATTTATCACCGGTGTTACTCAACCAATACAAATATTTTTTGTAAAAAATTAATAATTGTGATAATAATGATAATAAATTGCTAAAGTGCTATTAAATATGGATAATAAAATTAAAATAATCATCATTATTATCAATTTCAAATCCGCAATTAGGAATTACGGCATTAAGGTAATATTACGGTAATATTACGATAACAGTGGTGTAATTTATTTTGGCATTACGGCGGTGTTATATTACACAAACGTGATATTTCAGCATCATTCGAACCTAATCCACCACCATGTATATCTCGGCTATGCCTACCGAATCTCAATTCCCCATGAAACTGCCATGAAAAAATAGGATACCAAGGAGGTAGTACCACCTATTTCTTCCAGAAATCAGGCTCCGATTAAACTTAAGCGTATTCCCATAGTGAACAAGCCAGCTCCTACAATCGCAAAAACAGTTGAGAAGCAGTATCCTGAATTATCTTTTTTAAGCGACAGTGAAGAATTTCATGAATTTTATCAAGTATCCAGCGGGAATCTTTGTCTTGTATGGGGTAAGAGCCAATACGAGGAAAGTGGGAAGGCGCCTATTTTTTGATTTACATGAGAAAATCTATATCCTACGATGTTCCTCCAAAGTAGCATAGAAATAGCACAAAATTGTTAAGGTTGCAAAAAAATCTTCCGCAGTTTATGCTTCGTCATGTGAACCGATCACCTGAAAAGTGTAGTATTATATCGGGAAATTCTTATAGGGGCTATGCGACGTAAGATTTGCATATATATTTCGCATTATTTTTTTCTAAAATTTAATTTTGATGCTTGTATAAAAAATGTTATTGAAAATGGAATTCGAGTCTTTTTACATGCGTCACAAGTATCGCAAAAAACGTGATCATATCATATACCAAGTTAGCTATGTTGGAGATGCTGGTAATATGAGATCTTTGCAATAGAAAGGGGGAAACTGGCAGAAAAATAAAAATTGAGTTAATACTAAATTTGAACATATTTCGGCCTAAAAAACATATTTGATATATAAAAGTAAAATTGATTTTTCACGGCAGTTTTCCCCTTTCTTTTTCAAAGGCCCCATATGATATCAACTCCATCACGTTCTAACAGAATTTTCCGGTTTTATTTGGTGTTCCAAAACAACACGGACCCATTACTCTTCTTGTTATACTGTATATCGGCAAATTGATTTTTTCCAAGACAATCATAATTGTCGTTGTGTGTCTCGATGGCGCAGCGTCAATTTGTGGGACATTTTAAAGGTTAGGCGAGATGATTCCTCCTTTAAAAGTCCTACTTTCTTAATGCTAGACTAATTATGTATAATTAAAAAATAATTTTTGTCCGAATTGGGCTTTAATTTTTTAACAATATGAAAGTATGCGAGTATGTGTATATGTGCGCATAAGATTTTTGCGAATTCTTTATTTTACAAAAATTTGGAGAACACGTGTTACTTATTAACTTGAAAAGACATGACAAGACAAAACACTAAAAAAAGATATTTCATGGCCGTTTCATTTCAATAAAAAGACTGTTCCAAGACAGCTGCTCCATATCACTAAATGTGGTGTATCTACCAGCTTCAGCGATTTGCCGACCACAACTTTTTCCACCGGATCTTCACCCTCCTCCCTTGTATTTCCATTTGGCGTTGACAAATCCGCAGGTTTCGGGAGTGACGTACTTTCCACAGAGAGGGCATTTACATTTGCTTTCATCATTTACCCAATCAAAGTTTTTATAACCCATGAAATAATAACTCGGGATTTGCAGTAGGCTTCGCAATTCTTGCCTTTTTTACAATATCCTGAGAAAAATAATATTAATAAGTCGAGTTCATTTTATTTCTATATTTAACTTCAAGATTGAGGCCTCCAATTGCGTTCCTCCAAGAAGGAGCGTCCTTACTAAAGTCTATTTTATTTCCTTCTGCAGAAAGATCCGAAAATTTTAAAGACCAGCAAGCACATCCAAGGACGCCATATTCTTCATTAGGGTACAACATTGTTTTGAACTTTAAAAAATTCAGATACTGAACAGATTTATATAGTAAAAATAGACAATTTTTTCAATCAGCATGGATCACTGGCGTAAAATGTTTTACCGCGGATATACCAAAATAAGCTGTAAATGGTATAATCATGGCGTTTATCATATGAACAACAACTTTGTGTTATTTGCAAATATAAATTATTTTGTACCCGGTCCTCGGAGGATTTTCTCGAAAATACCTTTATCTATTTTTGTCAAATTTGATCTGACATATCCAATCCGAAAAATTTATTTTTGAGGAGATTTTCATCTCTCCAATATGATAGACCGAAACAAAATTTTCTGATGATGCTTTGCGAAAGAGGAGGGAAAGGGCCGAAAAGCTATAAGCTTTTTAATGGCATTGGTAAATCGAAAATAATACAAATTAGATCTTTTCCCACTGGATTTATTTTAAATTTATCTGAACATGGTGTGGTGTGTTGAGAGCTTCGTTAGCTGCGTCACATTACTGCGCCCGGACACGCGTGTCTGGATTTTCATTTTTGAGTAGTTATGCATAAATAAAAAGTATTAGTTTGTTCACATAGTGAACTTTGTCCTTTTTAACTACATTTGCAAATTTGATTGTAATACTGGCCAAAGGCGCGCTGTGCATATAAATTAATCTACATGCATATAAATAAAAAATTCCTTTGATAATTATAATTATTTCCCTGATAATATTACACTTGCTTTGGTAAAGATGAAAAGGCCATAGTATATGACCTGTATGTGTAATAGGCATAGATAAAATTCAAAAGGTTCGTTCTCTCTTTTCAATTACAATAATTACATAAATTGATGGTGAAAAATGCCGCTCGGAGGCGAATTGCTTGAAAATTGACCGCTTATTATCTCCACCTCATAACAAAAAAAAAAGTTATAACGTACGATGCAATCTTTTTTTTTTTTTTTTTTTTTTGGTTGAATGTATATTATATATTCTTTAAAAATAAAAATATTGAAAGAATTTACATATCGTGAATTTTTTTAATTGTTCATGATCCAAAAAAAAAAAAATCTTTATTGTAAAGTACTGTTCTAGACTATTCTTTTATTTTATTCTTTTTAAACAAATAGAAGTACCATTTTCTCTAAGTAAAAATGTTAAATTGCAATTAGAAAAATACATAGATTTTTCAATGAAAATATATTATCCGGAATTTATCGTTATACAAGATAACGGGGGTTGAAAAAAAAATTTTTTTTTTTTTTTAAAAACTTTTTTCTTATAAATAATAACAATGTCTGACAATAAAGGTAAAAGTGTAATAAAAATATTCAAAAAAAGGAATTAATGATATGAAGCTTATTTGACAATTAAATGATATTCTAACTTTTTTTTCATAAATTAACATTAGAGTCGGTTTCGGATACATCCTCATTAATAATAGGAATAGAAGGTTATTAATTCCATGTATTATTAACCACATTTTAATATTATAATAATTCATTATACTCATTTTTATTCACTATTTTATCAAATGTAACGAAGGTAATACATAAATAATTATCAAAACCATGAAGAATTGCAATATATACCAACCTTGAGATATCTAATACTTTACTGTAATTCATTTATTTTATTTACCAAAAATTTTAAAAATTTTGAAATATAGGATTAGATGATATAATATAATATAAATATAAATATAAGTAGTTAACAATTATAATAATCTATTAATTTTGCTTAACCTTGTTTCAAAATATTAGAAGGATTTGACGGTAAAGAGCATTTATAAATTACTAAATTATGATCTAATATTTGTAATTAATTTCGAAAATTATATTATGATAAAGTCAGTTTCGAATGCTCCTGATGCCCCTCCCCTACATTAAGAGAATTACGTGTGGTAATAAGCATATATCTATTTGTTAAATCAAATAATAATA